CTTTATTAGTCCAGTATGCGACTACTCGAACTACTCCATCTTAATCTCCAAAACAACAAAGTGAAAACCGCCATGTTGTTAAATAAGAAAATATTTCGTTCCTAAAATAGCAATTCCTGCTTTTTGAATCCATTAACTTGAAATATTTGACCCTAAAAAACACGCGGAAACAATTTTTTCGACTGCGAATAAATTATTTTCATTTTACTAAAAAAAAATTCAAGAAAATTTTTAAAACTTCTTTAATTTTAAGGCCCATTAGTATTTTTCAAAGTAGAAACAATACATTTATCAATAAAGTTGTTGGCGTTTAACTTTTTTGCCTTGGGTATCGAGTTACAGAGTCGGTTAAAGCGTTTCACTAATTATGATCTTCAAACATCCTCCACACTTAAATACTTTTCTTTTGTTTTCCTTCACTGCCATCTGACATATGTCTCTAACTAAATCGTAAAAATAATATTTTTACTATAATTATCCCAATTTAATATAAAACGCGACTTAGACGCCATATTAGTTTTGTATTTCTGTGAATTAGGATTTTAAACAACGTTGCAGTTTGTACTAAATTAGGCTTCTAGCCAACGTCGGTATCCAACGTCGTTTCGACCCAAAAATTATTCTCCAAACTAGTGCAGAGTAGGGTTGGCACGAGGTTGTACCGACGTTGCGCCCCGACGTTTGGTCGCGTGACACAACGTTGTCCCGACGTCCAAATGCCGCTTGGGATGATGAGTTATAAGTCGTTATAACTCAAAAAAGGGGAACACACAATAGATCTGTAAGGTCGAGGTGATTAACTCCCCTGCTAAGCATTCTACAGTCTACAACCCTCGTACAAGAAAAATATACCTAAATAGAATTTGCCTGAGTTCAGCCTTTTTCACAGTTCGCGTGAACTCGAGTTTAAGCTATGTCTAATATCAATAAACACTATAGTATTACAAGTACTTAACGCGTTTTAAATATTTTCTCTTGTTCTTGCAACCGACTGTTCTGAGAAAACGTTTAAGTATAATCGAAGGCCTATTGAACAATGTTTATCGGCAACAAATCGTTTTGAAGCCGCGCACCACCGACCGTGGAGAAAGTGATAGTTAACAAAAATGTCCGTTAACAGGTGTATAACAGGCGTCAGCAGCGTTCAAGTTGTGTGATCTCTTGTTCCATTTTTAGGACAAGAGAGATAAGAAAGTTTACGTTTACTTTCTATTTGTTCTATTGCCCCAGTGGTTCCACAAAACAATTAAAACTCTATCTTATTAATATACAGTGGTCACTGGTCAGTAACTATTTATTAGGGTGTCCGTTAATAATAACAGACCATTAATATTCACAAACCCTTAATATTCACAATAAACCTTGCCCCAAAGACGATTTATTTCCGATTTAAATTACATGGGAATTTGCCACTTTTTGCAAATAATTTTTTTTCTCTCGATCTTGTTCTCTCACAACCATAACAATCACATATTCGTATACGGAATTGAACGCTCTACAAAAAAGGCCTCTTATAATTTTTCGATAAACCTATTTCTTCAAAAGTTATTCCTACCATTTAGGTATAGCTGAAACAATGTTTATCAAAATAAATCAGCTATACAGGGTTGTTCACCACATACGACACGGAGTATTGTAGCTAAACTATTAGATTTTTACAAATTGTAAGTTTTGGGTTCGTTGCAGGACTATTAGAGCTACAATTTAAAAATATTTTTACAAGATACAGAGTGTCCCAAATAAATAAAAGATATCAAAGTTGTATTTTTTTAAATAGAACACCCTGTATATTATTACATTTTTAGTTTCTACGATCAAAATAAAGGTAAATCTGATTAAGGTTTATCACACTTAAACCTGACCGTTTTTGAAATATTTTCAATTTTGTGAAATTGCAGTCAAAATTTTAAGGCTTCATTTCTCCAAGGGTATCATAGCTTTTAATACTAAATATTTACTGAAGTTTATTTATTGATCAGTTATTAGGTTGCAATAATAAAAATAATACTACCTCATACAGAGTGTCTAAAAATTTATTTTAAATTATTTCTAGCTATAAACGGCAATAACTTGTTTAATTTCAATAGAACGCCCTGTATATTTTAGGAGAATCAGATGCACTATTTAATTGTCTATCAAATTGTATTACGCCACTTTTTACCTATCCCTTCAAGTTTTCGTATAAGATGCATTTTCTTATAATTTAGACCTCATTTATCAATATACCCATGGAATATTGACATTTTAGATTGTTTTTAAAGCAACAAAGGTACAAAATGTACAGACTAGTAATATTATTGTTTTTAGCAAAATGATAATATTACTAGCCCATTTGTATGCAAAAAGAAAACTATTTAAATCTTTATAAAAGAGTATACCATTAATTAAATATACCACCATTATTTCCGCCCAAATACTAATTAATTACATACTTAATTATGTTCGTTAATAAATTATTCTAAATAAATGTGGATTTGAATCAGAAATCAATATAATAATAAGTTATGAAAATGAATGTCTCTGTTGTTATAAATAAGCATTTGTCAAAAAATGAAATATCATTTTTAAACTTTTACCACACTGTCTAATACACATACAAAATTCAGTTTTTTAGTATTTGGAGTAATTATTATTAATCAACGCAAACAGTCAATTAATGTAGTTTGAATACTGGAATCATATTAATTGGTCCTCTTTAACAAATATTTAAACAGTTTCTTTTTAATTTTTAATGAAATAAACAAAGTATATCGACAATATTAATATCTGTACTCTTTAAAAATTTGGTACATCTTTAAAAATAATCTGATAAATGAGTTTTAAATTACAAGAAAATGCATTTTCTACGGAAACTTGAAGAGATAGGTAAAAAATGGTATAATACAATTTGACAGACAATTAAATTGTGCATCTGATTCTTATAAAATATACAGGGTGTTCCATTTAAATTAAACAAGTTATTGCCGTTTAAAGATATTAATTATTTAAAATAAAATTTTGGACACTCTGTATAAGGTAGTATAATTTTTATTATTGCAGCACAATAACTGATCGATAAATAAACTTCAGTAAATATTTAGTATTAATAACTTTGATACCCTTATTTCGATTTTTTCCAAATAATTTCTGAAGTTACGTCAATATTTGGATGAAAATTGGTGTCTGGGAGATTTTTGACATGAGAAATTTGATTTTGATGTCAATATGACTCTTACTTGTAGAGGGCGCAACCTACATATTTTTTAACTGATTTGAAGAATAATAACTTTTCGTCCGTACCTGTATAAAACTATGGAGTAAAAAATATACATTTACGACGTTTTTTACGTAAAAAGGGTCTCTTGGTAAAAATCGCTACCAGTAGACCACCCTGTACACTAAAAGATACAGCATACCGACTTAGCTCAAAACATCTACACTTTGGTACAAACCCACGATAACCAAGATATATAAACTAGGCATGGACAGAGAGATTCTAGGTTGCTATTTATTTATTTGGGCATATTTTAAACTGACCTGATTAACTAAAAGTTAAAATTGTTTTTGATTGTTGTTGGTTGTGAAAAACCATAAACGTAAGTTGTAAAATAACTCGTTACAAAAAATTATTAACCTGTTCATCTTTCTATGAAATTGCGATGCTGCAACACGAAGTTCCGGTCTAGAACAAACCTAACGGAACTATAGGTGGGCCAAGTCTGATATTTATCTATATTTTTCGTTTTTATTTTAATAATAAAAGCAATCTGTCTTAAGAAAAATAATTTTTGTATCTTAAAACAGAGCTGCAACATGTCAGCTTTAAAAAGACTGAAGTCTTAAGCAGTAGCGGCTCGTGAACAGTGCTTTCCATAAAATCAATAAAATGAAAAATATACGAAATAATATAAATGTACTGATTTCTTTCGAAAATCGACAACTATGAAACTATGAACTCTTCCTGGACACAAACGGTACATTGTGAAACAGGAAATTGTAGAGAGAAACAATCCCTATAACATATGATACAACATTTTAATGAACAGTGCTTTCCATAAAAACAATAAAATGAAAAATATACGAAATAATATAAAGGCACTGATTTCTTTCGAAAATCGACAGCTATGAAACTATGAACTCTTCCTGGACACAAACGGTGAATTGTGAAATAGGAAATTGTAGAGAGAAACATGCTCTATAACATAAGATTCAACATTTTAATGAACAGTGCTTTCCATAAAATCAATAAAATTAAAAATATACGAAATAATATACATGTGCTTATTTCTTACATTGTGAAACAGGAAATTGTAGAGAGAAACAAGCCCTATAACATAGCATACAACATTTTAATGAACAGTGCTTTCCATAAAATCATTAAAATTAAAAATATACGAAATAATATAAATGTACTGAATCAATTTTATATATTCTGCTGCTTGGCTGTCGCCTAACAATTAAAGAAATGCTGCTGTAAAAATTTATCAAAAAAATATATAAAAATCTTTTCTAAAAAGACTTAAATCTTTTACTATTTGGGAATAAAGATTTAAATCACAAATCGGTTTCAAAAAGACTTCAATTTTAAATCTTAAGTCAGCTTTCGAAAAATGACTTAAAATCAAATGATTTAAGTCATTAAATAAGTCTGCATTTTTTTATTTTTATTGTTGTTTTCTATTATGTTTATTAAGTCATCTATGTTTGCCTATTTCTATGAGATTTGTGCCCGTGAACGTTGAACACTTGATAAAAGAAATGGTTTGGTCTTGAAAATAACTGTGTTAATGGGTATGGATATTCCTAGAAGAAGTTAACATACAAAAAGACAGAACCGCAAATAACTTAAGTGCATTATACATACTGTATAATACGCTACTTACTTACAGTATTTTTTTCACAAAGATATATTGAATTTCTTTAAAATTCATGAATAAATTTATGAACCAACCGACAAAAGCCGGCCTCTTAGTTATTTCCTTTTAATAAAACATTTTTTCAACTGTTTGCATTTCATTTACCTCATATTTTGAATCTTGATTGACGTCGTCCCGTTGCCAATTCTTCTTTGTTCCTCGTGCATCTTCACGATATTTTTTCTTTTGACCACATCACTGTTCTGTACTTGAAGCGATTTACCACTAAACATTCGAGATTTTTTATGTTGACGCGTTCTATCGTTTGCTTTGACTTTTTTACCCATTCTCAAGGAAAGCATTATCCTGATCCTGACATGTCTGATGATGTACTTTTCTGTTTTTAGCTTGTTTTTGAAGGAATTTTCTTTTTTGTAGAGGAAAACATCTTGGTTTTTGTGCAGATAATTCTCGGAAGTTCTCAAAATGAAGCCTTCATTAGTGTTGTGTCTTAAATCGATGGATTGGGATAGCACATTTGACTCTCTACAAGAGTTTTAGATTTTTTAGTTATGGGTACAAGAATATTTTTAACTTTCTTAAGGTAAGATTTAGTATTTTTTCTAACTCGCCCTGTATTCAGTTAATAAACATATATTTCATATCAATTAAACTTTTAGCTACGTAATCGAAGGCGCGATTTTTAAATTCATTGTTGCCAACCAAGGACATATTCGGCGTCGCGCTGACTAACGGGAATTTAAATTTCGCGCTGGGGATTCAGGTGGTAGCTCTGCTGTAAAAAGTGTCAAGTTGCCGCATTTATTTTTTTATTTCGTGACATTGTCTTTCGTTTTGACACTTCAGTTTTTTATTACGAGTTTTTGGTTTAAATAAATATAGTGTTGTGATACTTTAAGCTTATTTTTTTACTAGCAGACCTTGCAGTAGAACATTCTTCTTTTTAGAACCTCTTGCTAGTGTACAAGATAGCTTAATAGCTGTAAAAAACTCATCGCAACTTTATTAGAATATTTTGAACAGAAAAGCGATAGGAATGGCCCTTTATGTCCCTTAAATGCTGTTTAAGAAGGTTAGTTTTTTTGACAGGCCCGTTCCTGTGGTATCTGGCGCCTACATGCAGCATTATTTGGTGCGCCCTTTTTATATTTAAATCAATTATATATTTTAATCTTAATCTCAAAAATTTAAAGAATTTATATTCTGCGACAAACGAGCAATATGTAATTGGAAATGTAAAAAAAAACATTCTAATTAAAGTATAAAGACATTTATTAAATAAAGAAAACAAACAAAACCACAAACATATTTAGTAACAAAAATAGTACCCTAAAGAAAAAAAACTGACCCATTTTATATGAAATACATAAAAACAATAAACTAAAAATCGGAAATAATATGCATGTACTGATTTCTTTCGAAAATCGACAACTATGAAACTATGAATCCTTCCCGGACACAAACGGTACATTGTGAGACAGGAAATTGTAGAGAGAAAGAATATAACATAATCAATAAATTGAAAAATATACGAAATAATATACATGCACTGATTTCTGTCGAAAATCGACAACTATGAAACTATGAACCCTTCCCCGACACAAACGGTATATTGTGAGACAGAAAATTGTAGAGAGAAACAAGCCCCAAGGATAGAACATTTTAATGAACAGTGAACTTTCCATAAAATCAATAAAATGAAAAATATACGAAATAATATACATGTACTGATTTCTTTCGAAAATCAACAATTATGAAACTATGATCCCGTCCCCGACACAAACGGTACATTGTGAGACAGGAAATTGTAGAGAGAAACAAGCCCTATAACATAGGATACAACATTTTAATGAACAGTGCTTTCCATAAAATCAATAAAATGAAAAATATACGAAATTATATACATGTACTGATTTCTTTCGAAAATCTACAATTATGAAACTATGATCCCGTCCCCGACACAAACGGTACATTGTGAGACAGGAAATTGTAGAGCGAAACAAGCCCTATAACATAGGATAGGACATTTTAATGAACAGTGAACTTTCCATAAAATCAATAAAATGAAAAATATACGAAATAATATACATGTACTGATTTCTTTCGAAAATCGACTACTATGAAACTATGAACCCTTCCCGGACACAAATGGTACATTGTGAGACAGGAAATTGTAGAGAGAAACAAGCCCTATAACATAGGATACAACATTTTAATGAACAGTTCTTTCCATAAAATCAATAAAATGAAAAATATACGAAATAATATACATGTACTGATTTCTTTCGAAAATCGACAACTATGAAACTATAAACCCTTCCTGGACACAAACGGTACTTTGTTAGACAGGAAGTTGTAGAGAGAAACAAGCCCTATAACATAGGATACAACATTTTAATGAACGGTGCTTTCCATAAAAACAATAAAATGAAAAATATACGAAATAATATACATGTACTGATTTCTTTCGAAAATCGACAACTATGAAACTATGATCCCTTCTCCGACACAAACGGTATATTGTGAGACAAGAAGTAGAGAGAAACAAGCCCTATAACATAGGATAGAACATTTTAATGAACAGTGCTTTCCATAAAATCAATAAAATGAAAAATAATTAGATGAGAACAATGTGTTGCCGACAGATTGCCCTAGTGTTGCCGACAGATTGTTTATTCGGTGCGGCCAACGCTAAAAAGACGCTAAGCAAACTTTATCCTATGATGTATGTTTAAGTATTTGTTTATTAACAAGAAAGCGTATTGGTTTTTTGTTACAAAGTACTGATTGACACTTCGATTTTGCGCCCCCAAAATGTTGCGCCTACGTGCGTGCACGCACTGCACGCTCGCCAGGAACGGCCCTGTTTTTTGATGTAAATAATAACTGTTTATATATTTATAATTAATTTATTTTTGCTTCCTAAAATATTTTGATTAAAAGAAAATATATAAAAATGGGCAACGCTGTGCCGGACAAGCTTAATCACGTGACTAAAAGTTAATTTGGTATGAACTGTATATTCATTAGATGGTTTTTTAAATTTAAATTTAACTCTATTTTTTAATAAAACATTATACCGTATGATCGAATAAAAACGGCGTCAGCGATGGCTATGAAATGAAGATCGCTGTCATTTTAAATGTAAAATTATATGGGAAATGTCATCGATCGTCATTTCCAATTTCCAAGCCAACTGGAGGCCGTTTTTTTTTCGATCATGCGGTAGAAAAGGCTTTATAGAAAATAACTGTAATCATTTTATTGGTAATAATTTTTGAAGCATAATTTTAAAGCCCTCTTTGACGCCCTAAAAATACCGTATGATCGAATAAAAATAGAGTGAGTCACCCTGAATTTATTTACCTCAAGCGCACAATACAGGGCAATTAAAAATTAAAAATTGTTTGTTAATTGACTCATAAATATTACTCAAATAAAACATTACGCTGAAAAAATTGAGTGACAAGAAAATAACTTAATCCACAGATTTATAACTTACTGCATATCACTTCCTGGGCATAAAACACTTTCTTTTCCACAATGCATACTATAAAAATCTCGGTATTTAAATTCCGGATTGGAGGGAACATATAATGGATTATAATAAATATAACTCAACGAATTAAAGTTGCTTTCGTCCGAACATTCCAAGATCGCGTCTTCGTGGATGTTAGATTTCGAATTCAGCGTATTATACAACGCTAAATTTTGTCCAAGAGATGTTTTTGATTTTATTGGACGCATATTGTCAAAATTACTCGGTGTATCTGGTTGGTAAAGCTGGTTTTCAGTAAATTTACCTTTGATATTACCAATCTTTGATTTACTGGTACTCCAACTCTTCATATGCCTCCAAATGTCTTTTACAAAACTGGATTCTTCTGTATTAATATCAAGAAGCCTTTCTTTATACACTTCAGGCAACTGCAAGTCTGTATATTTTTTTGCCGTGTAGTTTTTGGTATCAAAACGAAAATTCTTCCGATAATTTTCTGATATCTCCTCAAAAATCAAAGCTATATCTTCCTGGCGCTGTTCTGCAGTATGCAGACTTAGATCATCATGGATCTCTATGGTTTCCAAGTTCTCTTCATCATTAACCTCACATATTTCTATTATATCATCAGAATTATCTGGGATCTGTATTTTTGGAGGACCCTCCAAGTTGCTTATGACAGATATGAGGTCTTCAACGTTTGAAATTGATGAACTATCACTACCTGAGTCTTTAAAATCACTGTTTTCCTTGTTTATGTCCATTTCTTTGTTAAGTACTTTCGTTTTATTGTGTACCCAGCCTTTAGATATAGTCCATTCTTTTAACCAAGCAGGTTTTGACAGTTCTCGTTTTGAATTTTTCTTTTTTGGTGCTTTCGTGTTTTCTAAATGTTTTTTCACTGGCGTTTTCGCAATTTTTGGCGCGTTTGAAGCATTAGATCGTCTCGGGTTCCAGGATCTTTTTTTCACAATAACACACAAACATAAACAGCGAAAGAGGTCGTATAAAAATGACATTTTTTAAAGCATTTTTCAATTTCATTGCTTATTTTAAACAAAAATTCAGTGCCGACTGTCTGTATTGTTTTCCCGTGGTGTTGTAGCACGTAAAAAAGAGAATACTGGCAGATAAAAATATGTTAAAACGGAAGTTCTTCGGCGATGGGTTCACCCTTTTTTATTCATAAACCTTCGATCAGTCATGTGTGTAGTCGATGCGTTATACACTGCCCAACATATATTTTTATTTATTTAAATGATTGAAATGTATAGGTACCGGGTGTTGCATCGTCGAGCGGGAGATAGGAAATCCCATGTAAATTTTAATGGGGTCAATTATTGGCTTCCCTAATTATTTTAGAGAATAATTCTATTTAGGTTTATTGAAGAGCACTAAAACCTACATTCAAAAGAATAACTTTAGATATTTTTGATTAGGCCGTTTACGAGTTATCGCCGATTTCTTTTCAAATATTTCTCCTTTCTTATGGCCCTGTATTTACTTATGAGCACCAGTCAAGGTAAAAGATAAGATTGAAGTCCTGAAGATGCAAATAAATTTTGCGAAACGTCGACAAATTTAAAGCAAAGGACTTCTGTTGATTTCTTTCGATCCTAATCCAATTTATAAAAAAAGAATACATTAAATAATATTTATGTCGTTTCAAAATTCGAAACGCTGTGATGTGATCTATTCCTATTTCATCCTCAAGTTTCCTTGTGCTGATCTTTCCATCGTTCTTTTCCACGCACAATAAAACTTCCAAGTCGGTATCATTTCTTGCATCTTCTGTTTGTTCCTGCCTTGCTTCACATCTGCAGTTATTTATTAGGGTACCTTTGGTCTCAAATCTCTGGATATCCTTTGCGATTGTAGATTTTCCAGGTATCGGTCTATTCGGGTACAGAGCAGCAAACATGTCCGACACCTTTTGATAATTATTTCCTTGATAATACCATTTAATCATCAATACTTTTTCTTCGGTAGTGTAATTCATAGCTAATATTTTCGATGTAGGTATGAGTTTTTAATAATAATAATAAAGCACGAAATAGATAAATTTCTGAAATGACAACTTCATTTGACAGTTATCTTTTACCTTGACTTGTGCTCATAAGTAAATACAGGGCCATAAGAAAGGAGAAATATTTAAAAACAATATAATATTTAAAAACAGAAATTTATTCTTTTGAATGTGGGTTTTAGTGCTCTTCAATAAACCTAAATAGAATTATTCTCTAAAATAATTAGGGAAGCCAATAATTGACCCCATTAAAATTTACATGGGATTTCCCATGTCCCGCTCGACGATGCAACACCCGGTATACATATTGGTTTGTTTTGTCCTAGGATATACAAGCAAACTATAATGAAACCGTTCCGTTTTTTACAAAAAACACTTGGTGAAGGATTACTCAAGTCAATAATTACTAAAAAAATTCACATCAACTATACTGTTGGCTAGTGTAGGTAGATTTGGAATAACAAAAATAACATTGTACATTTCACATGTGACTAATTCGTTTTTAAACCAAGGCTATTGTGATGAGCAGAAATCGTTGAACCCTTAATTAGATCAACAAATTGACATTTTATAATACAGAAATATGTCTGGTTATTAATTAATTAAAATGTGCACACGCCGTCTATTACAATGCCCTGTTACTAGACCCACTACAGCTTTGATTAATGAGGTTAATCATAGCGACCTTAAAGATCTACTGCCCCCCTCAAAATATCTACTTTTTTATTTTTATTTTGAGAATTTTTAGTTATTTTTTATGCAAGACGATAAAATGGTATTTTACTATAGACGATAAAATGGTATTTTATCGTCGACCGAAAAGATTAATTATCGCGAGTGAATTAATTTCGGGAGTCGATTATGCAATTTTATCGTCGTGTATAAAACAATATTTTTTCCATGGCGAGTTACGTTTTAAAAAATATTCAGAAATTATTATTTCAAGGAATTTATTACTAGTAGAAAAAATATTGTGCTGGGTTGGCGTTGGTTTCTATGTAATTTGACAAATAAATAAAGCTCTCTCTTTAGTTGTCAGTTTTGAGTCAATATCATAGACTAATTTCACGTACTAGAGATAGATTGGACCTATGGATTGGACACTGATATAAAAGAAATAAATCCGTCATTTAGAGCCACCTGGTGATCCGGAAGAAACTAATGGAGAGTTTTGGCACAACATGATTTTAGCATTCCGTTATTTATTAACGCTAACTAAAACGGTAACGTTATTCAAGCGCAAAATTCCTTTTTGTAAAATATAAAATAATAAATATGGACTTGTTTACTATATTTTGTTTTATTAGATCATTAGAAGGGTAACATATTCAAAACTAAAAATAAAATTATGAAATTAACAACAACAATAGAGCAGCATATAGCGCCTATTTTTTGATTTACAAATAAATTACAATATAGTAAAAATGTTATAGACTACTAATTAACTGTTACTAAAAATATAATATTATGTACTTACTTATTTATGATTAAACATTTTTCTTTTATTTCGTTCATAAATGTATTATAAATCCAAGATGTCTAAAATGTCTTTAATAAAAAAAGTTTTGTATCTAACAAGAAAATGATGATCGACTGTAAATAACAAAATGCACAAACTAATAAAAACACAAATCACCGAACTTTCCGGAAAATCAAGAACATCTAAATTAATAATTATTTAAATATGATTTAAAAATAATTTGACGGATCACCAACATTTTGACAACTAGACCAAAACTAGACCATAGATGTTTGTAAATCTAGAGGCTGTCATGTCATCTTCATATATAAATTAGAAACCTGTACTTTAATGTGTTTTGCGCCGTCTGGCGATGCGGAAGAAACTAAATTTGTAGTTCCATGAAATTACCATTGAGTGTCTAGGGCGTGGTCAATATTTTTTAATTCTCTTTCATGTCGATTGCTGATTGAATTGGAGCCAGAAATGGCTCAAAACGAAATAAGTAAATTACCAACAGATATTCAGGCTGAGGCGAGAAACACCATATCCAAACTACTTCCATTTAAATCCCTAATAATAATTTCCTACAATACATCCTATAATACCATTGATTTTTTTTATATACTTTATATCTGCACTTAACAAAATTTAATCTATCCTTGCGGTTAAACTAGGTACTATTTTATCTACTAATTTTGATAGATATAAGGCAATTTTAACAGTTGCTCTGGAAAAATACAAATTATACTTCCTAACACTTTTAAAAACACTGAAATACTGAGAATAATTAAATATTACATTTTTCGTATACTCCGTGTATTTGTATATACTAGTTGTTTACGATATTCTCCGTTGGTGGCAGCACCAACGGAAAATGCACCAAGCCTATATTAGAGGATATATCCCTCTTTATCTATTGCCTTAAATTAACGTAACATGGTTAACGTTAATGGCAAAATTTTACAAATAGAATGGTAGTCCTGATAGCATGTTTTATTCATATAATTTATGTGAAGACATTAATGGCTTCGTCCATTCTCTGATATTTAACATATTTTTTTCTAAGTCATTTACAATTTAAACGAAGTATTCGGTACAATGGCGACATCTTTATCGCAGCTTAAAAAACCTTAGGCATACCTAATAAAAAGTTAGCTTAGAATAAAATTACAAACATTTCACAAAAGTTCCATGAATACTTCAATGGAAAAACGGAACATTCGCTGTGCCGGCTGTCTTTTACATATGTCTTCATTAATACTCGAGGCAGTACCACCTATTTGCGGATTTCATACGATCGAAAGAATGACATAAAAATGGTACCGGCCATTTGCCGTTAGAATTGGCGATAGGATCGATGAGAATGCACCTGAAAACAACGAAAGGATTCGTTAGTACCCGATCGGTACTGCTAACAGGCCGATAAAATTTAATAGAGTCGTTTTTTTTTTCATTTTGCCTTTTTCGAATATTAATTGTGATAGCTGTGATTAAATGTGATAAGCTGTTGATTCTACCTTTTAACTGAACTTTGAATCATCAAAAAATATTGAATTTTAGCCGAGTTAAAAAATAAACAATTTTTTCTATCAATTAATGATACGCTTATGAAATCTCTGGAGCCGTCAAGACTCTGAGAGAAAATTCAGGGATTCACTGAATTTATTTATTTTAGTTTTTAAGTTATTTTTCAATGGTTTCATTATTTATTTTTACTGAATAAACATTTTAAATTACAACCAATGCACAGCATAACTTGTATTCTAGCTTCTTTACCGATGATGATTAGTGAAGTCTTTAGTATAACGGGGGCCACGGGCCTGAGACAGCGAAGGGGCCCCTCGGATCTTGGAGGACTTTTACGCGGTATTTCCCTGGAACGGTAGCGAAAGTAGGTAACGCGGCTCATATGTGGAACCGGTATTTTCATCACTTTGTCATCATAGGTTGCCATTAAATACATGCGGACATTCCGCATGTATTTAACATGACAACAGCAAGACAACAGAAATGGACGCGAAACAACATAACGCAAAGACAACAGAAATGGACGCGATTAGAAGAGCAATGAGAATTTCACGGAGGAATAAGATCAGAAATGAAGACATTAGACAACAGATGGGAATAGAGGGAATAATAGTAAATGATATAGAACAAAAACAATTAATATGGTACGGCCACGTTCAGAAAATGCACAATGAAAGAATTCCAAAACAAGTCATTCATTGGATACCACCTGGTTAACGAAAGAGAGGACGTCCCAAGAAAACATGGATGGAAGGAATAAGAAGGTCGATGAGCGAGAAAAATCTGACCGAAGATCAATGGGAAAATCGCACAGGGTGGAAGTTAGGCATCGGACAACGTCGTAGGACGTTCTGACCCGAATTTATATATATATACAGAGTGTCCCAAGCTGAGCGTGCATTAGGAGTTTTTAGAGAACCAGAATATCTAGATCGAAGGTTTTTTGCACATTATTGTTTTACAACAAGATCTATCGATTAAAAATATTTTCAACATATCGGCACTTCCGGAAATACCGGAATTTGACAGCAACT